TCCCCCGTGCCCCCCGCGGCGGCTGAGGGTCCCGTCCCGCTCTCGCAGGGTGCCCACAGCAGCCAGCTCTATCTGCTGTGCCAGTACTCGCTGGGCTGCGGGGTGTCCTGCAGCCTCAGCTTCTTGCTAGAAGAAGCTCCTCATGGAACCTGCAACCTGGTCCTGGCCGTTGGGCTAGCGGGGCTACTGGCTACTTACACCCGGCGTTTGGCTCGTCACGTCTGCACCCTGTACGAGCTGCACAGCCGAGCGCGTTACTGCGGCCTCTGCATCCTCCTCCTCGCCGGGGGTCACCGTGTCCCTCACCTGCTCCGTAACGCCCTGGCCGTCACCTTCGCCGTGGCCGACCTGGCCGCCGTGGCTCTTATCAACCGCGATTTCCTCTCCACCGCCGAGGCCGTTCGGTTCTGGACGCCGCTCACCATCTGCTACGCGCTGCTGGTCACCTACATGCAGGGTGAGACCGGGCCTGACCCCCCCGGTGATGGTTGTGGGGGGGTTTTGGTTTTGAGGGGGGATATGACCCGGTGTGGGGCATCCTGGGGGTGTGTGTGGGATATATGGGGCTGTATAGGGGGTATATGGGGCATGTGGGAGTATATGGGGCATCCTGGGGCTGTATAGGAGATATATGGGGCACCCTGGGGCTGTATGGGACATCCTCAGTCTGTATAGGGGATATATGGGCCATGTGGGAGTATATGGGACAGTATGGGACATCCTGGGGCTGTATGGGGACACAGAGGGGCACCTGGGGCTGTATAGGGGATATATGTGGCATGTGGGAGTATATGGGGTATGCTGGGGCTGTATGGGACATCCTGGGTGTATATGGGACATCCTAGGGCTGTATGGGACATCCTCAGTCTGTATAGGGGATATATGGGGCATGTGGGAGTATATGGGGCAGTATGGGGCTGGATGTGACATCCTGGGGGTATATGGGACAGTATGGGACATCCTGGGGGTGTATGGGGGCACAGAGGGGCACCTGGGGCTGTATAGGGGATATATGGGGCACCCTGGGGATGAATGTGACATCCTGGGGGTATATGGGACATCCTGGGGCTGTACAGGGGATATATGGGTCTGTATAGGGTGTATATGGGGCATGTGGGAATATATGGGACATCCTGGGGGTGTATGGGGGCACAGAGGGGCACCTGGGGCTGTATAGGGGTTATATGTGGCATCCTGGGAGTATATGGGACAGTATGGGACATGCTGGGGCTATATAGGGGGTATATGGGGCATCCTGGGGTGTATGGAACTGTATGGGACATTCTGGAGGTATATGGGAGGACAGGGGGTATTCTGGGGCTGTATGGAATTGTATGGGATACCCTGGGGGTATATGGGGGGACAGAGGGGCACCTGGGCCTGTATAGGGGTTATATGGGACAGTATGGGATATTCTGGGTGTAAATGGGGGCACTGGGGGCCATCTGGGGCTGTATAGGGGCATATGGGGCATCCTGGGGATGTATGGGACAGTATGGGACATCCTGGGGCTGTGTAGGGTGTATATGGGGCATCCTGGGGGTGTATAGGGGCAGTTTGGGGCCCCCTGGGTCCCGATGGTCCATCCTGGGGCCATATGCTCTATGTAGCCCCCCCCAAAATGCACAGTGTGCCCCAGTCATGGGGCTGGGGAGGGGACAGGTCCCCACCCTGGTGACCACCCCGAGGCCGTGTCCCCGCAGAGGAGCCGCGGCGGAGCGGGGTCGGGCAGCCGGTGTACCGGACGGTGCTGGTCAGGATGGGCGGCCTCTTCATCCTCCTCCTCACCGTCGGGCGCTGGACCGATGTCCTCCACGTCCTCATCTCACTGCTGGGAGAGTTCTGGTGCCTTCTCCGTGCCGGAGCCATGCTGGAGGCATGCAGGTGGCAGGTGAGATGGGGTCACCTCCTGGCTGTGACGCTGGGGTGAGGGGTGGGCAGCAGCCCTGAGACCACCGTGAGGGACCTTTCTGCTTCTCTTCTTCCATCTCCTGTAGGATTTGACCCAGCAGGTTCGGCTGGAGAGGAGGTTGGGATCACAGGAGGCATCTTGAGAAGCTGTGGGGTGTAACCAGGCATCAGGAACTCAGGGTGGCTTTATCCAGCTCCCCAAAACATGGGCACCCCCCTTCCCCTCCCCCAAATCCTCCTGCTCACACATCCCCCATGGGGACAAAGGAAAAGGGTTCCAGGAGGAGCGGGGAAGGTTGGGGGGACGCTCACACGACCCCTGATTTTTAGGGGGGGCCCCACAAGCTGTGTTGGTGCCAAGGGTTTGCTCCCTGGTCCCACCGGGGACGTGAGATGCTGATGGATGGG